GGAAAATACTGGAACAACTATAATTGAACAACAATAAAAAAATTGAATGGTAAACTTTGAATCAGTGGTTGAGGGTTATCATTGGGAAGCAGAAGTATTCTGAGTTTAATTTGTAAGGTCCAGAAAGGATGAATACAAAAATAAATCATGTATGTGGATGATCAGTAACTACTAGCATTGTTGAATTTCTTGGTAACCTCAGAGAATTCTGCTTTGCCTCCTGATTCCTGGACTATTTCCCTTATATCCCTTATTTCTTTACTTCAGCCATAAGTGAAATATAGATCAGTTTGGGGGAAGGTGTTCTACTTATATTCAAATGGGAATGGAAATGAGCTATGGCACAAGAGCATAGTTACCTGGAGGCCTATGCTTACTAAAATGCCATTCTTGTTTATCTTTCTTTGCTAGAAATGAAATGCAAGTGACCTCATGTGATTTGTCCCCACTGAATAATTTCTTAGGTTATTTGTCCTTTGGATTTTATACAATTCATATTATTTGACTTATTTTTTCTATTTTTATAATTTACTTTCATCCTGTTTTTCCATTACCATTTATGCACCCTTCAGAGCCCTTCCAGCCCTGCAGTCCCCACACCATTGTCCTTGTCCATGAGTCCTTTTTCCTTTTTGCTCTACAATTTATATTTGAAATAGTCACTGACTTCACAGTAAATCATCAGCAAAAACTTTATATTCTAATCCATTTTTCTGATAGTTCACTTTGCTTTTTATGTTTGAACTTAGCATCTTAAACTTTTTTTGTCCAGTGGAACACTTTGGCAGTCTGGTGATGACTGATTTCCTCAGAATAATGTTTTTTAATAGATAAAATAAAAATATGTGGAATTTCATAAGAATCCATATAGATTAAAATAATACATATTCGATATCAGTAGGAGATGGGAAAGAAGTGGAAAAAACTAGAAATAAGCATGAAAAATAGAAAAGGAGCAACGTGAAGATAGAAAATTAATATACCTGAGATTACAATAGTATAAAAATGTTTACCCAACAACCATAATTTTGAGATTCAAATTTTAAATAAAGTATTAAAAATCAGAGATTTGTTTTCTCTAGGGGACAATAAAGAAAGATGTGAAAATGTGTAAAATACACAGAGAAAACATAATCAAATATGAAGCAAACTAACAAAATTAGTGATTTTTAACATGTTAAAAATAACATGTGATTTTTAACAAAATAAAACTTAAAGCCAAAACCTGTATGAGTACGAAGAGGTCTTTTAATATAAGTAAAGAAAATATTAGTAATAAAAGTAATAACCAGCAAATCACAATGATCAATATTGCTTCAAGCTAAATACAACTGCAAATAAAAAATTATGAGCAAAGACAAATAACTGTGAATGTATGTTTATTGATATTGATTTCAAATTATCATATAATAAACACGGATAAAAAAGTAAATGTAATTAATATGGTCCATCTAATGTATATATATTTAAATTTAGCATCATTAAACTTCTTTTAGAAAAACATGGGCCATTCACAAAAATTAAATTATATATCAGGCCAAATAAATCTTATCCTAGACCAATTATCACACAGATACATTGTCTCATCCAATTTCAAAAAAAATTTAATATAAAAAATTACCTTCATATATATCATATACCTAGAAAAATCACTCTGTTTAATAACCCTTGTACTAAAAGAATTACAAAGTATATTTTGCAATTTTTTGAACTAAAGTGTGTATCAATATGTAGAATGTATTTAAATCAATATTTAGGTAGAAAATATATAGTTTTGAATAACCATACTAAAAAAATGACAAAAAGAACCTTAAGAAAACACAACTTTTGCTTTTAAGAATGTGGCCAAATGATGTCAGGAGAAATCCTTCCACTTCAAAATACATAAAATATGGAAAAACAAGTCTTTAAGTTCATGGCACAGCTGTCAAGAAAATTTTTTTTTAATTTTTATAGTCCAAAAATGGTAAGAAAGTGCAAATTTTTACAGAGAAACAACTAGTGCTAAAGATGGAAACTTTGGGGGCATTTTCTCATTTTTTTAAAACTACAGTTTATATTTTAAAGTAATCATGTGTCTGTAAGATAAGATATCTAGCTTGTGCCTCTCCAAGACTAGAAATAATTGAATAATATCAAAAACCAAGAACTCTGAAATGTAATTCCTTAAAGCCCAATGAGAAGGCACTATATGCTCAGCAAAAGGTTAAATTAGGGGTACTTACCTGTCAACCATGACACTGAATTGAAAGAAGATTATAAAGGAGAATTGTTGTTCTGAGAATTTCTAATAATAGTCTTGCACATATGTATCTTTAGGACCAGAATTTGTACCACCTATGTGACATTTACTACTTTTGTAGTAAAATTATAAACTGAAAATTTAACTTAAAGAAATCCAAAACTGGTGGAGTCCTCTGTCAGCCTCAAAAAGAGTGTTCAATCCTTTGTGGCAAAGTACACTAGAAACTAGACCTCAAAGAACTTCCACAAATAAAGTTTAATGAAACCGAGTTCCAAATGGAATCACAAAGTACAAGACACCCAAAAGTCATAACTAAGAGTCAGCACTGATAACCTAAATAAACTTAGACATTAGACCAGCAGACATCAGAGTTAATAATTACAGTTTATGAAAATGCTGAGGAATTTTCTTTTCCTCTTTTCTCAAGAAAAGTTAACCAAACAGTTTTATTCCTGTATCTTATCTTTTATTTCATTATAGTGTCCTGATTACAATAGTTATTGCATAAATTATAGAAATTTAGAAATTCACAGAAAACTGAAAGAAGAAAATTAAAATCTTCTATAATTTTATTGTCTATAGATAAATCCACCCATCCAGCTTATATACAAATATAATAAAAACAAATTTTTAAGCATCATATCTACCAATATCTACCTTCAAATTTATTTTCAAATCAGTGTAGAAACATGTTATCAGCTAGTTGAGTGTTACAAACATACATAATTTCTCCTTCAGCCCTTTCTGTGTTACTTACTTTTAGGTGTGATAAAACTATATTATTTTATCAGAAAAAAATGGAGTTATTGATAAGAAATATGTAAAAATAAAACTAAGCCAAAATTTAAAAACATAGCAGTAGATGAAATCACATTAGTAGATGATATCATATTAGTAGATAAAATCATAGGGAAACATACAGATTTGAGTTTATATAAATTACCACTTTGTTTTCCCAAACACCATGAACTAAGTTATTTACATGACAGCAAATCAATATAAAGATCATAATGCATATATAACATGATGTTAACAAATAAAGTTCACAAAATTGATAAGAAGAACTATAAGCATAAAAAATTTAAAAAGATGATTTCCAAAAATTTACATCATTTGTTAATAATTTTGTAAAATTCTTAACCTCACTAGTAATAAAATAGATGAAAATTAAAAGAATGTTTTGTGATCAAAGCAATGATATTAAACACAATAACTTTGAATGGCTTCAAGATTGGAAGAGGATTGATGTTTTTCCACTACTGAAATATTAGCTTACTATTTCTGCAGGGCACTTTCTCAGTTCTGGAAGAAAATTATGAAATTTCTCCTTATTGGAATTTCTCTAAAAATAATTTAAAATACTGCACTTTCTATATAGTAGTCACATGGGACACTTTAGTTTCTGGAATGTTATATACCCCTTCTTGCCTGAAGACCCACACAGGAGCTGTTTTCCCACCCCAAATCGCTCCTGCTCTGACCACCACACTCTTATTCAATTTTCAGATCCCAAACTAACCTACCTCAAGCTCAGTGATATCATCTCTAGTGCCAAGATCAAGCCAGGTTATTTCCTTAACATCCTTTAGTCTTTCTCTCCCCAAGCCAAATTTATAATTAGACAATTGTTTGCTACTTATTTGTTTTTCTACTACAATACCTTATCCATTATCCTGGGATATTGTTTAGTACTATATCTTCAGCATCTAACAGAGTTAGTATTCAAAAGTATTTATTAAATGAATAAAGCCTCTATACTTAGACATTTTTCAGGCCCTAAGCATAAGGGAATGCACGTTTACAAGTTGCTAAAATAAGTTACTCAGTGCACATCGTAGGTCGGATATAAATGTTCAGTTTAAAAATCAGCATTTGAAATATGTCTGTGAGTGCAAGTTTATGAGCGTGAACATGCATGTGGATGAAACCCTAGGGCAGAACAGTTCGTCCTCCACGCTGATTCCATCCTGGGTCAGTTCGTGTCCTTGTTGTAACTCGGTGACCACATGGAGTCCTTTGGGTGTGTTCTTCCAGCAGAATCTTTACGTAACTCTAATTGGTCCATGATTTCATCTCAGGTCCAATCAGTGGATTTGAAGGATATGAAACCTGATTTCATCTCTGATCCCCTTTCCCTCTTGTAGACTGGGCTGCTTTTCACAGAGCTATGTATCTACTGGTATGACCACTGTTACTACATCAAACACACACCCGTTAAAAAAAGACATTGGGATTTAACCAGTGAAAATAAAATAACCTTTTAAAGAATTAAAACTGAAAACAGAAAAACCACCTCTGTCCCTGCCTCTCCCTTCCATGTTCTAAATGTCATGATAGCTCATCACTTTCTTTTTGATTCTTTTCCTTCGGGTCTTCTCGGTGAAAGGCTGCCAGAGCTTCATAGAAGTCAGGTAAAGCACAGTGGAAAGTCTGGCTTTAGATGCTTATTCCCACCACCATCACCTTCACAGTGAGCCGTCTCCAAGCTGTTCCTCCCTCTGGGAGATGTGCGGAAAGAAGGTGCAGGGTAGGGAAGCTGACTGAGCTGCAGGATTTTTATGTGGGATTGCAAGCTTTTTGAAGAATGAAATTTGCTCAGATGTCATCGAAATAATTAGGGAAGATTATAGTGATGCTCTAGAACACAATTAAAGTCAGTGCAGTAATGTGGTACCAGTAGAACATCTTCAGGCATTCCTTCACTCAATTATTCTCATAGAGCATCCTTTTCTCCCTATGCCTGTCTACGCCGTTGTCAGAGGCTTCTCTCCCCACAGCACTTTAAAAGCTGTAGTAACTTCAAAGATGCTTGTTTTAGCTTGCTGTTTCCTACTATTAGAATAAACGAGTGACCCCAGGGATAGAGGGCTGAGGTTGTCATACCCAAAATCATCAGCCATTTCTTTTCTGGCACAATGAAAGATGATATTTCTATGGCAATGCCTATAAAATTCAAGGTAAAGAGGATGATAAAAGATAGCAAAACTTTCATTGCTCTCACATGTGCCTCTGAGCTGGGGTCTCTGACACCTAGGGCATTCAATTGCATGTGCCTGTTGTGTCTCCAAAGGGAAATGATTAACAAGAAACATGTAACCAGGGACAGCATAAAGAGGAAAATGGCCCCCAGATTGAGCACAACTTCGTAAGTAAGGTATTCACTTGTAGGCATCATGAGATGCCAGGTTCTGTTTCCATTTTTCGCTTTATAGTCATTAATAATCTTCACAACCTGTGGGAAACTAAGTAACCATGAAATAAGCAACAATCCTATCAGAAGGGGAAGTACTTTATTGATTCTATGCTTCAACCAGAGAAAAATGTAGTGGGAAAAATTGGCTATCCTCAGGAAATAGAAGATGCTGAGGCTGGTGGCAAACCAGATGCTTGAGTGATTGATAATTATCCACAAGTAGGACATACATTCAATTAGGCTTCCAGAGGAATATATATGCGGAGAGAATATTCTTATAAATCCATCAGTAATTATTATCCATATCAGAAAAATTCTTGAAGTAGCTAAGCCAATGAGAATCAAGCCAATTACTGAACACTTCTTGTTCTTAACACAGTCAATGCAGTTTATGAGTCCAATAAATCCATTCCCTAAAATCCCCAGTATTGATTCAATAACTGCTATGAAAATGAAGAGGCCTTCCACTACACTTAGCATACTGGCCCAGCTCTAATATTGTTTCTATTAACTCTATTTCAGATTACCTGCTGCAGGCTGAGGCATATACTGGCTGCTTGTTGGAAGAATAGTTTTCATTTCTTTCAGCATATAAAGATTTAAAATTACCCCATAAAGTCATTAAAAAAGAAAAAAATAAAAGTGCCCCAGTTAATGCCCTTATATGGAATCCAAAATATCTGCACTGGGATCCCTCCACTTATATATATATATATAACTTAGCTAGGCTACAGAATATGAGTGCAGCCTGAATGCCGACCTACAATTTGTTAACATGCAAATGAAAGTTTGTTCCCTGGATTTCACTTGTCCCCCTGAGGCTATTTTGCATTTGTTAACCTGAATTGTGGAGTAGGAGTACCAAACACATATCTCTAAGAAACAAAACACAGCAGAAACAAAGACTGGAATTCTTCATCTTTTTCAGTATCAACATTAGCATTCTCATTTATGTGTGTTAATTCAGGCAGGGCACACTTCAAGTGGAAATGTAGACAGGACAATAGATGTGCCTCAGTCACATAGAAACACTGAACAGTTGGCACTTTGTGTTAAGGTAGGTACTAAAAACCATTTTGCTGTATTATTCAATGTATTTTATCTTTTAACTTTTCTATTTTGTATCATTTTTTTCAATTTAAGCTTGACTGAGTGTAGAAAAGTTTCCAAATATTATCTCACAAAATTGTTGCTGTGGTTTTTTTACTCCCAGTTATTCCATTCATGAATGTAGGTTGACTACCCAATGGGAAAGGTTCTTAGAAATAGTCCCTTTATTTAGACTACTTCACTGTGATGACATCCATCCACCCATTTATTCTACAAGTATTTCACTTAGTGTCTAAATACACCAAGCTCTCCTCTAGACACTGACAGAATATTGTGAATGTAATGATGAATGTAATGGTACACAGCTTAAAGCTTGTGTGATTCGCTTAATTTACATTCAAATCTTCAGCCAGAAAAAAAAATCACAAAAATCAATATCTTGTTTAACAATTTAAATTTTAAAACTTAAAATAAATAAATGTAAATTTATTGAGACTTTATTATGTTCCCAGCACTGTACTAAACACTTTATGGTTATTTTCTCATTTCAGTATCACAACAGACCTTTAAAATATATACGATTATCTTCATTTTTAAAGAATAAACTAATCTTTAGAAATAAAAACATTTCCAACTTACATTAACATGACTCCCATGAATAAAGTCACCCAATGGCCTCACAATGAAATACCATCAACATAGAAATAGACAATGAGTGATACTCACCAAGGCAAAACAAACATGAGCAAGCAGCAAACACAGACATCACATGAATTGCAAATATTGAAATTGACAGATAAGAATGTCTGTAGATATAACACCTACGTATGACCTGCTTAAAAAAAAAAAAACCTAAGATGTAATTTCAGAGAAAGCTAGCAATAAGAGACCGTCAAGAAATGGGAAATTTGGGGAAAATGTATAGAAATAAAAAGAATAATTGTATTCAATGAAAATGGACTAAATAACTCCAAGTAAAACACTTAAGATCAATAGCCAGACTTTTAAAACTCTAGCAATATATTTGTTATAGGAAATATAACAAATATTAAGACTCACAAAGCTTGGAATTAAAACTATGAAAAAACAGAGTATACAAACATCCAAAAGAAATCTGGTATAGTTAAAATAATATCATATAAAGTACATTTTAGGTAAAAAGAAATATTACAGAAAAAAGATGCTGGGTACTTTAAAGATAAAATGCTCAATTCAGCATGATTATATTGCTATCCTGAAATTTATGCACCAAATAATCTAGCAAACAATACAGAACTGAAAAAAAGAAAAGGCAAATCTATAATCATATAAACTAATTTAAAACACATAACTCAATAGCTCATAATGCACATGTACTGAAAATCAACAAAGGCAGAGACTATCTGAATTAACAAACTTGATACATCCCACAATGGAGTAATTCATATTCTTTCGCATAGACTATTTTTTACCAAAATCGACCATATGTGAAGCTAAAGAAAATTCCACAAATGTTAAATGAATAAAAACTTTCAGAAGATGTTCCCTAACTACAAAGAAATAAAATAAAATTTGATCACCGACATCACTAATTATAAGCAAAATGCAAATCAAAATCACAATAAGATATCACCTCACACATGTTAGAATGGCTATTAGCAAAAAGACAAGGATGACAAATGTTGGTGAGGATGCAGAGAAAAAGGAACCCTTGTACACTGTTGGCGGGGATGTAAATTGGTACAGCTACTATGAAAACAGTCCAGAGTAGAGTTACCATCTGACCCAGCAGTCCCACTTTTGTGTATTTATCCAAAAGAAATGAAAACACTGTGCAGGAGAGCTGTTTGCACCCATGTTCACTGTATCATTATTCACGATAGAAACAACCTAAATATCTGCCACCAGATGAATGGATAAAGAAAATGCAATATATAATGTCATTCAGCTATGAGAGAGAAGGAAATCTGGCACTGTGCAGCAGCATACATGGACCTTGTGGACATTATGCTAAGTAAAATAAGGTAGCCAGAGAAAGCCAAATAACTATATGTCCTCACTTGTATTTGAAATCTAAAACAGCCAAGCTCATAGAAATGCAGAGTAGAATGGTAGTTTCCAGAGAGTGGAAGGGGGGGGGGGGCGTTGAATAGAGAGATGTTATTAGTAAAGGGGTACAAGTTTTCTGTAATAGGATGATTAACTTCTGGGAATCTGATGTACTGAATAATGACTGTAAGTAACAATATTGTGTTATATACTTGTATACACAAACACACAATTACTGTGTAAAGGGATGGAGATATTTACTAATCTGTATTGTGGTCATCATTTTGCAACATATACATGTACCTCATCATTACATGATATACCTTACATTTATTTATGTTGTATGTCAATAATGTTTCAAAAATACCTCAATAAAGCTTGAAAATTTCAACCAAATTTTTGTTATTGAAATTAGAGAAAAAAACCTCACTTAGGAAGATCACAGAGGAGTTTTGGATTTGTGTAGCTTTAATAACTATTTATATAATTTGTACTCATTAATTTAAATAATATCATTTTTTCTTGGTTAACAAAAAAATTTATTTGAACATCTTTACCAAAACCCTCCAATTATTTCTATTTTCTTTTCAAAGAACTCTCACTTCCAGTGTCACCACACAAACTAAGATACACATACTACACACACAGTGGCGTAAAGAGAATTTTCATTTTCCAGGAAACGAAATGTTATCCAAGGTGGACAAAGCTTTCCCAGTAAATAAATCTCAGGCATCAGAAAACTACTTTGGAAAGGAAAATTTTAAAGTAAGTAACTTTTAAAATATTCAATAGACTCATGATTTATGCAGAAACTTGGAAGTCATCTGAAAGATTTTCTTAAAGAGCTTTTCAAAATGTTGACACCGACCCGGTCAACATTTTGTTGTGCAGTTTTGAAGACTGATGTATTTTGTGAGGAATACATGGAACACACTGTTCTGGAATGATTTGTGACTAAGAAACATGTAGGTGTCGATTTCTCATATTAATACTTTTCTCTATCATGATTGTTTAAGAGTTGATCATTTTGATTTTGACTCCTTAATAGTCCCCCTTCTGTTGAAGTTTAAGATGTTTCCAGTTGTGCGCGATGGGGTTTTTCAACCTCCGACGTTGGCGCTTTGGGTTCGATAATTCTATGTTTTAATGGCAGGTTGTTTAACAGCCTCCCTGGTCTCTACCCACAAGGTCCCAGCAGCACCTCCCCAGCTGTGACCACTAAAAATGTCTTAAGACATTGACAAATGTCCCCAGGGAGTCAAACTTGGCCATAGTTAAGAACCACAGATACACTACTTTAATTTCTATGTTGATTAACAATTGTATATATGTGTGTTTGAATTTTTTATGTTGCTTTCTTCACATGAAAGCATGTTGCAATAAGTAGAAACTATGAACTAAAAATGTTGGCAATAGATGAAAACTATACATATCTTGAGTAAATTATTTCCACCTTAGAAAACAACATATATGCTTGCTTTCCAAAATGAAAGAATAATTCTGGTACAAGTGAAATGGAGATTAAAACTAAGTATGCACTATGTCAAAAAGGAAATCCTAATAAATTTTGGGAGATCCACATGCAAACCATACTCTCAGTGTTGCTGAGCATAATTACATTAGATAACTTCACTAGTGAAAATCCTGACACATTTATAAAAAATAAAATAGAACAATATTTTCTATGTACACACAAAAAAGAATAAAACAGAAAAATGCAAATGAATGATTAGCCTAAAAGTTACTTTATTTAAATTTAGAAGATCTATCTGAGAGATAAATGGAAGTTTTTAATAAGAGATCAGAAATAATGTCTTTCTGCCCTGGCTGGTGTAGCTCAGTGGATTAAGCACTGGCCTGCAGACCAAAGGGTCGCCAGTTTGATTCCCAGTCACAGCACATGCCTGGGTTGCAGGCCAGTTCCCCAGTAGGGGGCACGTGAGAGGCAACTCCACACTGATATTTCTCTCCCTCTCTTTCTACATCCCTTCCCTTCTGTCTAAAAGTAAATAAATAATTTTTTTTAAAGAAAGGAAGTCTTGTCTAAATGACAAAATAAAAACTTGTAAATAATGTGAATATATTCTGAAATATTTATAGATTAAGTGTATTTCCAAAAATTGTCTTTTGAAGAATTACAAATAGAATTAAAGATTATAGTATCCAACAAAATTTCAGTCAACAAAGATTTTAACCAAGTCTTTATTGAAATATAAAATGTACTTGAATTTAAAGTATGCACAAATGCCCATGTACACATTTTATTCAATTGATTTCTACAATGTTACTATGAAAAAATGTATTTTTAACATTTCCGTGTTTGGGGAGAGGGCAGAAGATAAAGGTCAGATTTTGCTTTGTAGGTTAATAACTGATTATTATTTTTTAATATTTTTGCATAT